TGAGGGCTTCGTCCAGGTTGGGTAGGGCTGCGAATGCCAGGCGGGATGCAGCTTTCTTGTCTGCTAGGCCCTTGATGAACCTCTCCACCAAGGCCTCCTGGATGTCCTGCTCCTTCATGTTGCGCAGGTACGCTCTCCCCAACCTCTCCACCTGACGTGAGAATTGCCTGTCGGTCTGGTCCTTCTCCTGCATGAGCGTGTTGAAGTCTTTCTTACGCTCCCACATGGAGGCGGACCTGCCGAACGTTCTGATTAGGGCCTCGTCTAGGCTCTCGTAGGTGATCGGCACTTCCTGGTGCTTGAGGTTTGCGATCACGTCCGTGGCATTCCCCGTCAGCGCCTGGATCAGGGCCGTCTTGCGGCCCTGGGCGTTCCAGTTATTGGCCTCGGAGACGGTGTCGAACTGGATCTGGTAGATTGTGTAGTCCGTCTCTCCGTCGTATTTGGGTGCCTCGTTGTATTTCTTGGGCTTGTTGGCGCCCATAGTCCTAGCCATCGCCTCCAGGAATCTGGCGAACATCTGGTCTTGAGGGGGCACCTGTGCTTGTTCGTGATCCTGTTCGTCGTCGGCGTCCTCCTCGACGTCGTCGTACTGCCCATTTTCTCCGCCCCAGTGCCTCCTCCGTCCTGCTCGAGCGTGCCTTGGGCCTTGGTGCTCTCTTTCGTGTCGCTCTAAGTGGTACGGTGCCCACCGACGGCGACGTCTCCCGTACTCTCGGTCCGGGCCTTGAAGTTCGTCTTGCTCGTATTCTTCATCGAAGTCATCCTCTTGGACTTGTTGTCCTTGGTGCGCGGCTGCGCCTTGCCGCACTCCGGCGCCCCGTTGCTGCTCAGGGTCTATTTCTTGCTGCCCTTGCGGCGCTGGCCCCGCACCTTGTAGTGCTTCTCCCCCCTGTCCCTCTTCACGAAAACGTCGGGGTGGTCGTCGTTCTCGGTCTCCTCTTCGCTGCTGTTGTGCACGTTGAGGACCGTTATCTTCCTCGATAACGAACTCCATGACACGTTCTCGCTATCGCCCGCGGCCTCGTCCACGCCTACGTCCGCGTCCTCGTCCACGGCCTCGACGTCCACCTCGGCCTCCTCCTCGTCCGTCATACACATGCGCGGCCGGAAATTCGACCATGTTGACAGCCTCTGGTTGTACGGCTTGAGCGCCCTGCTCAGCCTCGGACTCGAGTTCGGTGTCTGTGTCTGCATGGAGCGCCATTGAGTCCATGGCGACGTTCTGCTCGTCCATTCACGATCAAGGTTCTCCTTATTTTCTTGTAAACTTAAGTTCTCAATGTCCGGTAGGTGCGTATGTCGAGCAACACGTCTTAACATACCGTCCGTTTCGGAACTGTAAACTCTCAGGACTTCCCTCTTAACCTCAAAATACGTCTCCTCGCTGTGCTCTAGAAGGCCTCAGTCTGGATCAGTATTTCGCCTATATCTACCTCGGCGGCCTAGAAGTCGGCCTGCTTCGGTTTCCTCGGCTGTCCTAGTGGTCACGCCAAGGCTCCCTATCTCTCAGAGCGTGCGCTAGAAGGCTTCTGGAGACTACGCTACTTCCTAACCTCTAAATCTGCCTCGGCGGCCTAGAAGTCGGCCTGCTTCGGCTCCCTCGGCTGTCCTAGTGGTCACGCCAAGGTTCCCTAACTCTCACAGCGTGCTCTAGTAGGCTTCTGGAGACTATTCTAACTCTCTTCCTCCGTCCTTTACCGCTGCCACCAAAAACTTCTAGCTTGTCCGGTAAAAGTGCAAACACGAACGGGAATGTTTCACCTGCGTACTCCCCGTGCATTGTCAATATCTGGGTGAAAATGTCAGGAGCAGTTTCAAAGGTGCCGTCCAGGTAGAAGGTAGCAGATTGAACAAGTCTTTTTAGGCCAATCTTGGTTGCAAAAACCAAAATTCTCTTTTCGGGTCGTTCTTCATCTTCATCTGCTTCGTCCCAGGAGTCGTAGATAAGGAACTCCTTGCCGTCGAGAGTCTTCTTAAATTTGTCGGGAAGTTCTCCAATTTCACTAATCTTCTTCGGGTTCTTCGGAAAGTGTTTGCTGCGTATTTTATTAAAAGTCCGCTTCATAGATTCTCGTAACGGTAGATGTGGGAGTACTCCTGACGGGACCTGGACACACGTACCGTAACGTTAATGACATGATACTTTTTAAATACGGTTCATGTGAAGCAGAGCAGGGGTAACTCCTGCTGGAGGATTTGGGCTGGTGGTGCCTCCGGGTGTTCCTCCGCGCGCCTCTTGATTTGCTGGTACCGCTCGATGGCGTCTCCTTCTTCGGGGTTGGGCAAGTGGCCGGGATGGTCAGCCGGCGCCTTGAACACCTCAACTTCGTCGGAGCCAGCTACACGGGACGTGACGAAATTACTACCAGTACGCACTTCTCTCCGATGTGAGACGCGCTTATCCTGCTCACCCTTACCTGAGGGCTCCTCCGTGGTCGCACGCTGCTTGCATTCGGGCTTTCTGCGGCAAACCCAGTAGCGCCTTGTCCGCGCCTTGTTGGACGAGTGCGTGCTGTAGAGGTAGCCTTTGTAGGAGAGGATGCGGCCCCCCCTCTCACTCGGTATTAATTTCCCTAGATTTTGCTCCACAATGCCAAAAGATTCCAAAAGATTGTGTGTGAAAACACTGCACTATAATTTCACGGGCAACGCTTTTCGATTGTTGTGGAATGGGGACACCCCTCACACCTGCTCCCCTCCGGCCCTAGACAATACTCCACGAACAGGCAATATCCCTTGCATTTGAAATTTATTTCTGGGTGAATTATTCAGGCATGGGTGAGATGAAATCGAGGGTGAACGGACCTTGGGTGAATATTAGGGGCTGAAAAGACCCTCGGTGAACGGACTTTGGGCCAATCGAGTGTTGGGTGAAAGACGTCTGGGTGAATGGGCCGTGCCCCGATTAAAACCAGTATAATGGTTGATGATTACGCGAAGCATTTTGAGCGAATTTCACAGGAAAATCGGAAAGAAAAGAGGAGCCCCGGCAGCGAGCGTCTTAATTCAAGCAACACAAAATGGCGAGTGACCGTTGGTGGGGTTGCCGCCAAAACGAAGCGTCCTCCACGGAAGGAGGGGAAAAGGAAGGAGTGGGGGTAACCCACTGCGCATGAGCGGCGCGCGCAGCCGAGTATGAGAATAAAAGAGGAACGCCGCCAGAGCACTCTGAGCAGGCGGAGAGAGAGGACAGCTAGCAGAACAGCACTAGCCGAGAAATAAAGTTCTAAACCAAGGAATTGGATAAAGAACCAGAATAATTTAACACGTCAAGACTCAAGACAACGCTGGAATCAAAGGAAATCACCAATCAACGCAGGCAGAGGAAGATCAACGCTGGATTAGATACACGGAGCATCTTTATTTTAAAAGTTAAGTATTCTTAACCTTCAAGAGGTTAATAAGAAACGTGGTAGTGTTCAAAAATCAAAGGTGTCACGTAGATAGGTCTAGTCAGTCGTGTAGGAGACACCTAGGGCCAGTTAATTACAGCCCAAGGCAATGGTTTAAGTGGTCAACAAATACTGTTCCAGGATTATTTGTGTGTTTCAGGTACACTGGTACACCTTTCCCCCACACAGGCCATCGGGGGCCCCGACAACCCGGGTTCTTGTCGGGGCCCCGCCCGGGGCCAGGGCCCTTGGGGGAAATGTCCAGGAATTTGGCTCAAAACTGCTCGTTTTGTCATGAAATATCGAAAAAAATTCTTGCCCGCTTCGCTCGCAGTTGTCTTTGGCGGTTTCCCGTAATGCTTCCAAAATTAAAGCGGAAGACCGAAAGACGTCTACAGGTGGGTGGCAACGTAACGTCAAAAGGGTCTACTAACATAATACCTGCATAATCCCTAAAAACCGGTCTTCAAGCTATAAGACGTCAAAAATTCTCGCCTGCTTGGCTCGCTGGAGTTTGCTGCCGCAGCAAACCTTGATATTCCGAAGACTTTTTAGTTTTTTTGAAGAAAGGGGGGGCGGTAGATCTGGTTTGGGGGCCCTTCATGTGACGTGGCACCCGGGGCCCTTACCCTCCCAGTCCGGCCCTGCTCCCACAGCAAGTTCACATCAAGATTAATTTGAATTTTAAAAGGCATGGAACTCCGTGGTTGATCTCCTGAATGGATTTTTAAACTACTATTGATAGCAAGTTGATAGTGGTCCGGCAAGCAATCATACTAATGCTAGGAGGGAAGTCAATTTCTTTCTGTTTGCACACCGAGCCAGACTAGTAGGTTTGAATAAGCCGTAGGTTTGGCAAAGTGGAAGTTCACAGGTTTAATTAAGTTGAAATTATTTAGACTTTGTTCATTTATTTATCAACAATGTTTAAAAGTAGAGTCAGTTCAATCAATTTGTACGTTAACGTCCAAGTGTATTGTATGAAGTTCAAGGCGAAGCTCTTGTTGTTCTTCTTGTTATGCCAAACACTGAATAGAGGCGCGAGCCTTTG